GCGGAGATGTTCAACGACGAAAGGAGCTGGCTCAACCGAGTCTGGACGATGCAGGAGACTACCTCCAACTGGCTCCTCGGAGGGCTGGTGCCTGAGGAGTTCATGGTTCGGAAGGAGGACTTGGACTTGCCGACACAGTTCCACGACGGGGTTTGCAGTCTGCTGCAGGTGCTGGCGCGGGACCCACCAGACTTGTTTGCCTTAGCCAAAGTCTTACGAAGCCGGCGCGGTACTCACCATATCGACCAAGTCAGCGCGTTGGGACTCCTCTTGAAGTGTCCCGCTCTACCGATCTACGACACGAAGCAGCGCTGCGAAGACGGTTGGGGCCAGCTCGTGCAGCAGATGTCGCACAAACACCGGACTGACCTCCTTGTCAACTGCCCTGTGGTCGGCAACGCTCCGGGAACTAAATGGTGCCCTTCGTGGTCTCAACTCATGCTGGGGAAGACGATACCCTCGGAGACCACTGTCATCAACTATTCCGAAGGCGAGCTGCTCAACTGTAGCCCGATATCTCACGATCCCTCGGTCAACCTTGGAGTTGTTTACTGGAACTACGCATACGTCATCGAGAGCTGCGAGTTTTCCATTGAAGACGGTCGCATACACATGCATGTTCTCCTTGGCCCAGCCTCTCAGTCGCAATTTGCCACCGACAGCTACAAGACGCAGCCTTTCCTTGTCGAGTTCTCCGGAGCGAACCCGCTTTTCGATCCTGACTTTTACTACGCCGCAGCCGGAATGGCGAATCTGGAGTATTGGGTACTGGGAAAGATCTCTGGTCACGGTCGGAACATGGGGTATGTCCAGTTCGAGAAGAGATCTACCTTCCGGATTCCATGTGCCAGGGAGAGGGAACGACTTTGGCACCTGAACCCCAGCTACTCTGACACTCCGATACGCTATCTCTGATCAGAAGCGAATACGGTGAGCACTCGATCATTACTGTTCTGCAGACGTTCCCAGATTGATGGCGTGCTGTATAATAAGCAGGAACGGATGATGCAGATGCGCAGTTGGTCCGATATTTTAATATGCAGAAGGTTTTGTTGCGGGCCACAAGTCCGCTCGCATGGCTGATGTTGATGATCGTTGGTCCAGCTGTATTATCGTTAACAGTAACGCGACAGGCAGATGTACTTATACTAGTAGTACTGTAGATTTTTCGGCGATGTCTACTACTGCACAGAATGTCATGTGAACTCGGGATATTTCAGGCGTACTAGTGTGAATCATCCTTGGATGTCGTCGGCTACAACGAGCAGTCTTCAGAAGTTGGCGAGAAGACACGAGGCTAACGACGATACACAAAGCGACAGATCGCATGCCAAAGGATAACCGTGAATCAAATCATTGATTACAGACTTACTTTCGCATGTCCCCAAGCCAAACGCGGGCGCACGCGACATGAGCAAGATTAACGTATGATGAGTCTGGCTTTACGTGGATATATTCTGTCATGGGCTACCCTAGGTCATTGCTTTCAGGATGCGCGATAAAGGGATCACGCTCACCAATAGCGTACTTAAACACAAGATATCTTCTAGTGTCGGAGTACCCGCGAGTTTAGATGCCAGAGTGGCTCCTTCTCCCTGAGATCATGGATCCGGAAGACAGCGACCTTCTCGAACGCCATCTCCGGCTAGTGTTCCCGCTCCGGGATCTTGCCCAACACCTAGTACTCGAGGTCAGCAATCCGACGGCGCTGTGCCCCCGAACGACTCGTATCGCACACTCGAAATGTCAATGAATGGGTGTATGCGCTAACACGCAGAAAGCCTCGTCCAAAGGGACCGCAAAACCGTTCCACAGTCCGCTCGGATGGTTAGCGTTAGCACCCGTTCCGGTTGTATTATAGCTCTCGAAAACGCGATGAGCAAATGTGCAGTTTCATGGACTTGTCAATGGTATCTGCTGCCTCCCATAATAAAACACGTTTAGGACCGATTCGCCCTTAATGTTGTCAGTGCTCCGAACAATTCCCTTGAAAAGCGGCCAGTGGAAGTGATTAAAAAGCGCCTGCCTCTGGGAGGCTCTCGGGCGCGTTGTGTGGAAGAAGAAGACGGATTATGCCAGTTACTTGAATCAGAAATGATAGAGCTTGTCATATGGTACGGTATCGAGTTTGAGATGAAGTGGTGATCATGATGTTGATGTGGGCACTTGTCGGCAGTACAGTTACAACACAAACACGAGAGAATCCCTGTTCAGTGTTAGGTGGAAAACGCGGCTAGAAACAGAAAAGGAGAAGGGTTGTCTACAAAGACTGGTAGTAAGCTGTACAACAGTCATGCGCCAGAACGAACGTACAGAAAAATGTGAAAAAGTTCGTCGCAATCCACCACAGGGCCCTTTTTAATCCCTAGTCCTTGCTTCCTCCAACCTCGCCAGAGTCTCCTCCAACCTCACAGTCCTCAACGCGTCAGACCGTTCCTCCCACTCTTCGTCGTGGCTCAGATAGCTAACGGGCCTACTGGCTTCGCTTAGCCAGCTAGCGTGCGGCGAGCCTTCTGCACCCCCGCCTTGCCTCGCGCGCTCGCGCGCTTCGTGCCTCTCTGCGCGCAGAGTGTTGTTCATAAAGCCGCTGAGCAGCAGCGTGCTGCCTCGCGTGTGTCCGTACGCTGGCGGCGGCGGAACTGCGATAGCGCTGTCCTCGACATCGCCCGTTCCCACCCCGCTCTGCGCCAGCGCAGCAGCGTAGGTAGGGAGGGGCGGCCTATTCCACGGTGCAAATCCCATATTCATCTCGCCCCCGTGGGTGTGCAGCGGTAGGCCCGGGTGTTGGTAGTAGTAATGCTCGGCACGCATACGGAAGATGCGCCGTTCGATGAAGATGAGCTGCGCCATGCAGGCAAGACCAAATGCGACATGCACGAAGATCGTAGAGGTGGTCACGCTGAAGCTCGCGTTATTGTTCGATGACGCTTGAACTTTGGACAGGTGCTGAACGAGCAGAGCCCAGCCCGCGATCGTTCCCGCCAGGACCGCAAGGTGCAGAAGGAAGAGGCAGAGAGTGGTAAGCTGAATACTGAAGAGTGTGGGTATGTGCTTCGGCTTGAAAATCTTGAGAAGCTTTGAATGGGCGGAATGCGCGCTGTGGGTAGATACATGGTCATTTGCGGGTTCGGCACTTGGAGCAGGTCCTGCAGAGCTCCTTTCTGCAGGATGCACGGCAGGTAGCGGAGATGCGGTGTGTACGTCGAGGGGTGTAGGTAAATGTGCAGGTTCCGGAGGCGTTGGTTCTACGTATCCAATCTCTCCTTGCTTGGCCGGCAAGGGCCCCGCCTGGCCCCTCGAGCTCGACGCTTCTGGCTGGGTTGTCTCGCCGGCCGCAGCGGAGGAACCAGCTCTAATTCCATCGTTCCCTGTTTCAAGCCTCACTGTGTCAAGAGACCATCGCGCGAGGGTGTCATCCTGCATCCTCCTAATTGTGTCCAGTCCGGGCAACGAGCGTGATGCTTGATTTAAGCGTTGGAGGTCTCCTCGACCAACGACATCCAATGCGACAAAGACCAGCTGCGTCAAGGAGAATTATGGACAAGCCCCAGGCCGTGTCAGGTGGTGGGTGAAGGTAAAGAAAGCCCGAGCGCGGACAACGCTCAATATTGATTTTGTTGTTCGACAGTCGCGGGCAATGGTTGCCAGCTTTCCTCGTCCCTGATTCGCCCACGGAGACGCCCGGACCGCTGTGCCTGAATCTGCTGCATGCATCTAGTATGCACTGGCTATATATGCAAGTTTGTAGTAGACACAGGTCCGTTCCCAGTGACGGAGAGAGCACCGAAAGAATCTGCAGCGGAGGGGAGAAACATGCTAGACGGAAGCAAGAACTGAAGTGGGCGTCTGTTGCAGCCTCACGTCCTGCTCGCGTTTTCCTGCGCGCTGGTCCTACTGGTTCCCAAACTAGTCCTTTCACCCCCTCAAGTGCGCAGCTAGCCCAGGCAAGATGTCTCCGGGTGTGGAATACTACTGCCCATGCCAGGCCTCCACCCCACACCCGCCACAGCCAAACCTCGCCTCATCGTCTTACAGCTTTCATGCGCTGCACAATCTCTACTTCTGCGAGGAATGCGACGCGATACGATGTAATCACTGCGTGATGGTCGAAGTCAGTGGCTACTATTGCCCAAACTGTCTCTTTGAGGTGCCCAGCGCGAGCGTGCGGGCAGAGAAAACCCGGTATGTACTCGCATCCAGTCGTCAGCACAAGACGAACCTGATCACTGGGAAAGCAAAGTTGCGCACGAAACTGCTTCATGTGTCCAAGTTGCAGCAACACCTTGACTGTCGTGCCCTCGGATCCTCCAGATAACGGTGATGAGCGTATTCCTCCCACCATCAATGCTGCTGGGGAACCACCTTTCTTCTTGTACTGCAATCATTGTCGGTGGGACTCTGCAGAGGTTGGAATAACGTTTGAAAAGCCAACGGGCCTTGCAGGTGCGTTGATAAGCCTCCAAAACTGGTCGCCATATGCTGACGCCTCCACCATAGCTCAATTGCAGAAGTTCGAAGACTCGGCGCCGGAGTCGCTAGAGTTCGAGAGACTAAAGGAACATTTCGAGCCTTACTTACGTGCATCACCATCCACCTCCGGCAATGGGTTGCATACTCACAGCCCTCACATGAACCCCATAACAGCCGCCGCATCGTCTGCCCTCGCACGCGATATCCCTGGTGTCGCCAGGTACATGCCGCATGCTCTATCCCGCAGCCGGTCGGGACGTGACAAGAACGCAAACCGTCAAGAGGTGCCCGACTATCGCGCTCGGGTGGAAATAGGCGCAATCACGACGGGTTATGCCCTCGGAGGTGGTGCCGAGCCTGACGTCGAGTTCATGAGGCATCTCGAGACGGTCGAAGAGGTTGCGACGCTCGATCAGAGGTGGGGGAACAGCTGGGTGACCTCACCGCGAAGCATGTGAGCACATTCATTCAGATGCGCGAGTGCTGACAGCTTGAACTGCATCTAGTGACCTAAAGCCCCTCCGTATACCACTGCATTCCAAGAAGTCAAAGCGTTGTCCAACATGCCGGCACATCCTCATCAAACCCGAGCAGAAAGCCCAGTCTGTGCGCTACAAGATCAAACTTGTCGCTGCGAACTACTTGCCCGCGATCACCGTCAGCCTGCCACACATGCAAGCCGCACTTGCGATGCTCCGACGATCAGGTCGCGCGAACGCCGAGCCGCAGGACGGGACGATGCTCGCGGGGAAGACGTACCCGTTCCACCTCTCATTCCAGAATCCGCTGTACGACCCGATCCAGGTGCGCTTGCACGTCCAGCGTGCGATCCCGCCGACGCAGCCGAACGCACCTGAGACCGAGAAGGCGCGGCGGCCGCCGTTCGCGATCACGCTCCCAACGCAAGCGTTCCCAATCGCGGCGTTTGCGGAGGCATGGGAGTACGACGACGACGAGGATATGTTCGGGCTCGAGGGCGAGGGCGAGGGCGAGGACGAGGACTTTGACGCCCATGGACCCAAAGATTCTCGCGGCAAGTCACGCACCGTTGGTGTGCTCGAGCGGCGCGCAAACGTGACCATGATTGGAGGCGAGGTGATGATTTCGAAGGAGGCGCGGGGCGACATGAAGGTACGTGTACGCAGATGCGATTTCGCGCGGCGCCGAGCTGACTGTCAGGCTTAGTTCAACATGCTCGTAAGCTACACGTATCGGTCGGACGACCCCGAGCCCGAAGAACCTAGCACGCCATCCCGCTCGCAGGCTCAGCACAAGCAGCCGGAAATGAAGACATTCTCATTCTATACTGTCGTAGATTTGGGCACTATCATCGTGCGCGACACGTCTAGCGTCGACCTAGACTCGTGATACCCTCACAACTTCTGACATACCTCATCTTATGTATACACCACGTAATTCCAGAACTCAAGTGAGCTTGAGAATATGGTGGGGAAGGCTCGATTGACAAGGTCGTTTTACACACAGTGCATCGTACGTAGCGTGGCACACTTTGGCAGATAGCCCGCCAGCGTAGCGTGGTACACTTTGGCAGATAGCCCGCCAGCAAATCGTAACAAGCTTACTGGTTTCGCTGGCGCACCGCAGTAGATCCTCCAGTCGATATCGCACAACAGACGGATATCCCGCCAGTGGTATTATCACCGCATCTACAATACAGGGTGACATTCGAGAGGCGACATAGATTGGAAATGACTGAATGCATAAGTATAAAAAAATTGCGCGTGGTAAAACAAGAGTCTGCAGAGTCCGTGAAACCCGGAATGATCAAACCGCGACATACATGCCTTCTTCATACCTCGTTCGCCTTGTACTCGTACGGCGAGTCGTACGGGCTCTTCATGCTCATCTCGTGCATGTCGACGTTCGACGACTGGGCGCTGATGATCTTGTACGTGGGTTGATCCGGACTGGCCTTCGCATTGATCCCCATGGCAGCAGCTTGCTGCGCTTGACGGGCACGACGGCGACGGCGAGCAACGCAGCAGCGCCAGGTGATAATGCCGATGACGATCAGCACGAAGGCGAGGCAGCCGACGAGAATCTCGGGCCAGCGACTAAGTACCTCTTCCTCATACCTAAATATTAACACGCAGGTCAACGTCAACGAATCATCCGTCCTTAGGCAGGGAATGCACAGTCGAAATCTGTGGCTTACATTTGTTTCTTTTCTGCCGCAGAGACAGGCGAGTGCTGCATCTCGGAAACCGGTAGGAGCTGTTCCGATGTGCTGTTTGAGGTGTCAACGCCATTCATGCGCACTTGCACGAACTCCTCGTGGGCTTGCGTCTTGTTGGTGATGGACAGTAGCTGGATATAGGGATCCTCCCTGTCGTTAGAAGACTCCTCGACCCAGTCGCCATAGTCGAACAGGGTGTAAGTGTTACGCACTGCCGAGATGTTAGCACAAGCAGAATGAAGAAGTGGTTGATGCGTACAGAAAGCCATGCCGAGGATAATGTCGTATTCTCCGAGCAAACTGAAGGCAGTGGTAATGGGCTGAAACGTGCCGACGCAAATGGGATTGCCTGTGGCGTCGACCATGTTGAAGTCGCTGCTGACGAGATCAAGTGGATGAATAGGGTACTCGACACCACCAAACATAAAGCTGAGGTTGAGCAGCTGGTCGCAGGGAACAAGCCAGACGCCGGCAGTTTCGTCGTACTGAGCACCTTGGACACGACCGTAGATCATGTCAGACATAGCGCGGGGCACTTGAGGAAGTGTGTATCCAGAGTCGAATACGACGATAAGCTGATTGTCAGGTGCTTTGGGTACGATGGAGTCGACTGCAATGGGTTGGCCATCTGGACCAATGACACCGTTCGCGTCAGTGTACGTTTGCCAGTGTTGATCTTCGTCCGTGAGACGTTCGACAGTCTCGACTGTCAGCTTAGGCATCTGCTCAATTTGTTCAAAGCCAGGAACAATTTCGGAGATTGTCAACTGGCCCGTGAAGGATTGGTTGACGGGCGACTCGCGACCTAAGAGGAGCGTAAGATAGTTGGCAGATGTGGTGTTCTGCGAGAAGATGCGGTTGAGGATACTGTTTCCCGAATCACTGTCCAGCTTGTCGAGAATGACGGAGCCAGAATTGGGACCGAGCCCTATAAGGCCCTCAAAGCCTTCCGACTCGATGTTTACAGAGAACGATGCAGTATCGTTCACCAACACTGTCATACGGTGTATTCAGTAAGACGCTAGGTCCACGAAGCGAGATACACACAATAGGCCTGCTGAGATACTTGGTAGCCAGCAAAAACCAAGTCAGCGGCGTTGACATCACCTGCAAGAATGTGAATTCCTGAGCCGACGGGAAAGGCCTGTGGGACGCACCAGATGCTTGTCCAACCGCGTAACTTACTGACACAGACTTTCCCAAATCTGTCGTATTTGGTACTTGGCCCGTAACCCATAGGTCGGAACTAATGTCTCGTGAAGACTTCACAACAGACTGCCGCGGGCACGGACGCACCTGCCCGTGTCGAGGAGGACAGGGATTTCCCGTCCCCCTAGGGTGATGTTCGCAATATATTCCGCGTTGCGAGTATTAGCCACTGGAATTATGGAGTTGTTGTCGCGTGCATAAAGAGCGTGTTGACTGAAAGTGGAACGGACGCGAATGTCGAGGTTAAGAGCATGAGCAACCGAAAGAGACGCGAAGACAATTGCCAAGAACGAAGTTGGGGGGCGGGATAGCATCCGTAGGATGAAAAGAGTGTGTTTGTTGAAAGAATGAAAGGCCTTAGAGACAAGGCCGAACTAGAGACGGTGGGTAGTTTGGGACAAAATGGTGGTCGCAATCGAGGAGCCTCTCGGCGAGGGACCGGTTGCAAGTTGCGGGCGTCTATTTGACGATATATTTACCTCCACCTCAACGACTGTACCCGTCCCGCGCGAAAGAAAATCGAAAATTCTCAGATATCCCGAGGCACGTCTGCGCTACCATGAGTGCCACTCGCGGTGCACGCCAATGTCGCATAGGAAACCGCCATGCACAGCTACGACGAGCAGGCGTCACAGATGTTAAATATCTGAGCGTCTACTTGCCCTGATCGCGGTGAACACCGCCTTCTGTGTTGCATAAAACTCTCGTACTCTCCCTCTTGTCGGTCAAATCGTTTTTGTGTCCAAGGCTCGGTGTTGCAAAGCTGGTCAACCCCCCTACTATGCGCCAGGCGACTCTTCCACTGCTTCTGTCTCTCCTCGCGCTGCCTGTGGACCTCGCAGACGCTGTGCGTGTGGGTATCACTGGTCGGCGGTCACTAGCTCTTTCCAAGCTTCACCGCCGTGCGTCGCTTACTGGCACCACTGGGCTCGCCGACAGCTCAGATATCACCTATACGACAAATATTACGCTGGGTGGGAACTCGTTCTCTGTAATAATAGATACGGGAAGGTGAGCTTGCTCTGATGTCGCGGCGTGTGGTCTTTGCTCAGCGAGACGCATCTTCACAGCTCTGATCTGTACGTGACGGGCACGGTCCCTGGGAGCAAAGACACTGGAAAGTCGGCAGGTGTGCAATATGCGATAGGGCAAGTGCAAGGTGCGCCAAAAGCTTTACAGCCGCGTACTTCTTACGCTGACGCTGGTGCCAGGTCCGGTGATGCTAGGAGAGCTAGAATTCGCAGGATATTCTGTAGGAGACCAAGCGTACCGTAGGCAGACTTCTATATTCTACCGCTTCGGCTGAATCGTTATTTCCCAGTGGACGTGCCCGCGAGCACTAGCAACATTGTCGGCACGGGCCTTGTCGGCCTTGGCCCGAACAATGGTTCCCAAGTCTTGCAGGCATTAGGGAACTCGTCTGGAGACACTGTCCTCAATAGAATCTTCCAACAGAACACCTCTACGCCAAACTTCCTCACAATTCTCTTGGGTAGAGATGACGATCCCTCCGACAATTTCCCTGGGGATCTCACTGTTGGAGAGATTCTGCCAGGGTACGATGCAATCACCTCCCAGCCCAAGCTCAACGTGTCTTTGGTTCCGGTCAACGACGAGGGTAACCAGCACTGGCAGACGTTGCTTGATGCGGGTGGGATTATTGGCCCTGATGGCAAAGCCATCGATGTTGAGACTGCTGTTGAGTCTACGTCGAACAAGAATCAGCTAACGGCTGTATTCGATTCAGGCTTCTCGTTACCTCAGGTGCCAGCGTATGTCCGTGAGCCATGAGCCCGCTATTCGTCACTCACTTTTCCTGCAGGTCAGTGTCCGAAGCCATCTACAGCGACGTACCCGGTGCCCAGCTTGTAAAAAACTCGGATCTCGGGGAGGTCTGGACAATACCATGCAATGTTGAGATCAACATTTCATTCAGTTTCGGAGGCAAGACCATACCTATACACCCACTGGATACCTCGCTTGACCTGAACGCAACTGATGATAATGGAAACCACATTTGCATCGGGGCTGTAGGCCGATATTTTTCCTTTACACTTCCCACCTCTGACCACCTGCAATAGTTCCAGCCAATCTCAACAGCTGCAAGCCCCGACTTCGACATGGTTCTTGGCATGGCATTTCGTAAGCGAGCTTAACCTACGCGTCTTTACGCGAGGCTAATATTCCACACAGTGCGCAACACCTATTTTTACGTCAACTATGGTGACTTCGTCGACGGCGGGACTAACCAGACCGCGGATCCGTACATCCAACTGCTGTCAACGACGAACGACTCGTCTCAAGTGCAGGCCGACTTTGTCAAGGTGCGCGGGAACCCTCAGACCTGGGACCCGAGCGGCGGCGGCATTCGCGCACACTTGCCACTGATCATCGGCGTCTCCGTCGCTGCGGGCGTGCTCATCCTCGCCTTGATCGCGTTCTTCTGCCTGCGCAACCGCAGGCTTCGCAAGACCCCCGCGGGCTTCATGAACTACCAGAGCTCGTACCAGCCGTTGCACGAACCCGCTCCGCCATCTTACGACATGTCCTCAATGGGCGGCGGAGGGTACGGGCACCCGCCGCCGCAGCATGCTAATTACGGCAACCCATGGGATGCTCACTACTAGGTATGGCCCCTCGGATGGACTCACATTCATGTCATCTTATTTGTACATCACCTTCCGCCGTCTGTCGTCATTTAGTAGTATACAGTATTCAGCTATGGACTCTTCGCAGCTGCTCTCGTGGGATCGGACTGAAATCGTCTTTAGGGTATTTAATTGGTGTACCAGGCACGCGTTTCTGATTTTTCGTACTTGTGTATGTCCTGCCTCAGGCGACTCTCATGCCATCGCGGGCCGAGCATTCAAGAAATGCTCGATCGAATAGACGAGAGTACGACTGCGCGTGGGGATACAATTCACCAATCTATGCGTCTAGAGAAACATCGCGCGTGACCAGGTATTCTGGGAAGGTTATAATCTGGGGAGTGGAGGCGACAGAAGCAGCCAATGAATACACTTATATACTGGGTGAACCGAGTGAAGGAGTTCTATGACACCAAAGAAGAGGAAGGGCGAGCCGGCGGAGTAATTACGGAGACAGAGTGCAGTATAGCCCGGACAGAGAAGATCTATGTGCATGCGAGTGTCTACAACGGAGGGGAGGTCTAGAGTCTATGTTGGGTTGCGAACAGATTACACATGAGGCAGCGGTCCTGGATGGGTCGTGTCTGGTATTATATGGGGGTCTGCGGTCGTGACAGTGCGACGGAGGGACGCAAGCAGGTATAACGAGATAATATTTTTATGAGCTCATCGTAGACCAGTGGCAGCTTCCACTTCACTGAACCGCGGGAGCTCGATGCGCTCTGGCGCAGAAGCAATTTCGGCGCCTTTGACGTCCTCTTCGCTGTTGAGCAAACTCTGCAGGCCGACAACGGGCGTGGGTCGGGCATTGGGCGACGACGGTGACGACGGGAGTTTCAGCGGCGGGAGCTTGATGGGAGGCGATGACGCCCTGGAGCCAGGCATCGACAGCGTGGACGGTTCTGTCTGCTCGCTCAGATTGCTGAACGTCGATGGGGTTGAGCTGTCAGAGTGCTGTCGCGGCGCACCATGCTGCGGGTATCCGCCGCTGCCCGGCCGACCATGCGGGCGGATCGGTGTCATGCCGAACGCAGCACGCACCGAGTGCGCGAGGTGATGGTGATGCGAGTGATCTCGCCCATGGTGCGGGTGTTGCAACTTCTGCGACCACAGTGGCGGTGAAGGCGCTCGCGAACTCGATGCGCTCAGCGAGCCACTCCCCACGATGCCCGGTCCGCCTGGCGTGCCGCTGTACAGCGAGTTGGCGTAACTTCGCGGACTGCTGCCGCTGCTGCTGGGCCCGCTCGACAGTTGAGGGGTAGGGAGGAATGCCGAGTTTCGCTCGCTCGAGAACGGCAGGTAGCTTGGGACTGCCGAGTGCTGCGATAACGACACGAGATCACCAGTGCTGTTCCTCTTGCGGCCACCTAATTTTCCAGGGGGACTGTCAGGCACACCCAACCGATGACCGTGTGCGTAGCCATCTATTGGGCTGTCCAAGCTTGTTGGAGGGAGATGGAACGGCGACGGAGCGCGGGAAGGAACTGCGGAATGGATGTTCAATTTCCGGAGGCCACCCAGGAATGGACTGGTCGAGGGCGTGCTCGAAACCTCGCCGTAAACCCTGCCCCCGTACACTCCAGGAACAGTGTGGTCCACGGGGTACCCGGTGGAGGCGATGGGCGCATGCACTGCCGCAGCACGTGTCGGGGAATGCGTGGGGAGCAGAGATTCGGAATCGGAACTGACAGGAGACGGGCAGTCCTCGTGGCTAGTATGGAGATGGGAGCGGTGCGCGTGCGAATAGTGATGGTGCGGATGAGTGTAGGCACAATGAGCGTATGGGTGGGAGGACTGATGCTGCGGCCCCCGCATATCGAAGGCATGACTCGTCGAGTGCGGGTGCGGTACCATCTGGTCCTGTCGCATGCCCGACCCACTGAGGCGGCGCGCTTGCTTGGATGCGGGTCCATGAGTCTCGTCAGGCAGCCTGGGCATCGAAGCGTGGAAGTCGGGATTGCGTTCCCGCGGCATGCCAAAATAGCCTCCGTCCTCGCTGTGAGATGGGTAGAAGGGTGTCATCATCGGCGTTGTTGAGGCGCTCTTGCTGACACGCCCATGCATGCTCATAATCTCGGCATGTCGAGTCTCGTACTCTGCCCGCCGGAGTGCTTCGGAATGACGGATTTCGTACTCAGCTCGTCGCAGCGCTTCAGCTCGCTCCAGTGCGTACAGCTCCCCCATGGCGACGCTCGACAGCGCAGTGAATGACGCCGAGCTCGGTGCCACGACAAGCGAGGGATCTGTCATCTGTGGGAGTCGGGAGCTATGTCCCAAAATAGTGGCATCGTCGTTGTAGATTGCGGTTGGACGGGCATATGATTCGGACTGTACAGTTCAATGGGTATGAGAATAGAGATGGCAGAATTGGGGTGAAAGACTTGCCTCGTCGTCGCTATTAGCCCTGCTCCTTGCCTTCTTCTTTGCCCGGACGGTCATGGTGTCGAGTGCTTTCCGTGCCGGCGGCCTGGCGACGGGGGCCTCGGCATCGTCGTCATACATGTGCTCGCTTCGGCTCTTGCCTTTGTCACCCACAGTCGAATGACCATGGCTTTGGTGAGCACTATTGTGGATACGAGAATGTCTCGTGAGCTCGTCCGAACGAGAAAATCGCTTCTCGCATCCTGGGAACGAACAAAGAAAAGGCTTCTCTCCAGTGTGCGTCCGTATGTGGCGGGTCTACCATGTGATTCCTTAGCAGCCGCAGGTCTCGGCGAGGGAGGGACTACACACCTGGTGTTCCAGTCTACTGAACGCACGACCACAGAGCGGGTAAGGGCACTTGTACGGCCTGGCAACGACTTTCTCCGCATGCGGGGGCGGGGGTGGGGACGAAGCAGGTGGGGGCACAGCCGCGTCCATTGCGACTAGAATTCGAGCGCGCAGCATGATGAGCAGCAGACGAAGTACGGGAAAGAGGACGGCGATACGGCAGGTATATATCCTGGTCAGCGAAAGAACGCAAAGAACAGAAGGACGACCCAGACTCACGGTAACGGATGACAGGACGGTTCGACTAGATTTGGATGTAAGGAACGAGATTTTTTCCGCTAGATGGTAGCAGGCTTCCTACGCGCGTGGGAGACGGTGGACGCGGTGGATAGAGTGTTGGTAGAAGCACAATTGAATAGGAGGGGTGAGGTGATGGTCAGAGGATAAGAGGACCGTCTAGGGGTTATCGAGGTTGTAGAATAAGATGCGAAGCCGGGGATTCACCGCCCAGCAGGCCGGATGACGGCGGTGGTAGCTTGGGTAGATGGTGGCGGTGATCTGCTTGGGCTCAAGCAGATGGACGTAAGGGCTGGGCAAACGTGCAGCGGGTTGGGGGAACGTGGTATCCGGGGTAAGGAGACAGGGAGATCTCGATAGAATACGAGGATATGTCGTAAGCGTACCCCGCGCTACCTGTTCGTCTGGGTGTGGGCGAAACACGTTTGGGCTGTGTGCGTCGGGGCGCCGCTGGGGAATGCGGGGATGAAGGGGACGCGAAAGCCGCGCGACCAGCCAAATTTTTTGTGCAGCTCGTTTGTCGGGCGGAGCACGACAGGGACCAGGCATTTCGCCAAGTTACCGCCGCGGTCCGGCTGAGCCTTGCTCCTTTTCAGGCAGTTCTCCTTGCTTACGTACGCCCCATTGCTACGTCGGATGTCCACATATGGCAATCCTCCTAGGACTCAACCATTAGCCCTCGTTGTCGTCACAGCAGATCTAGAGTCTAGAGTCTGTCGGAGACACGCCTCTCTGTCCTCGCTTCGAGACATGGGCCAAAATGTCCCAGATACGATGACCTTTTGTCGCACAGATAGCGGGAAACCTTCGGGAAACCCCATACTCGTCGCTCTCCGCACCGGTGCTGTACAGATGGCGCAACAAGTCTCATAATTACTCGCAAAGACGAGCTCGCCATTTTCACATGCTTTCCTGAGCCTGTGCCCCCCTAAACTCTTGCTTTCTAGCATTCCGTTGTGGTGTCGCCGGACAAGGCTAACGTGTTCCCCATTCGAGGTGCGTTCGCGAACGGCCTCCAGAGCTGCACGTTCATCGCGCTGGCCTCATTCCGAATCGAATCGAGCCTCGCGTTATTACCTCCGTGGTCAGTGCGCCGCGACACGTCCTCACTAAGCCCAGCTGCACTCACGAATTGCTGTCCAGACCGCTTCATCCCATCAGACGTCCGTCAGACAGGCCTGGCAGCGCGTACAGCCCCCCGGATGCTCTCAACACACTCTCGGTAAATTCCGACCCATCAGTTGCGCTTCTTCCCGTCCCCGCATCTCAGTCTGGGGAAACGAACTTTACATGGTATCCGCCCGGCGCTGCTGTTGCCGTGACCCTCGGGATGGTGCTGCTTTAGGTGCGCAGGCTCCACCCTTAGGGAGATTGTCTGGACCACACCGAGCGGATAACCATGATAGGGATGTGCCCCAGACGTAGCTATCCGGCACAGTATGCCGACGATCCCATGCAACCGTTTCGTGTAACTGCGATGACGGAGTGACCCGCGCGTAAGTACTCGGCCGAGGCTCTAGAGCATGGCCTGCTCGCCCTGGGAGAGGCTGGTACAGGTCTAGTCGCCCGCTTTGTCCCCAGCCGTTGTATCTTGGAAAATATCGTCCGGTACCGCCGATCACAACCGGAAGCGATGCAATGCTCAGCTGCGTTCCGGTCCGTCTCATCTATCTCTGCCTTTGAGCGGTCTCTCGCCGGAAGTAAATGTCACTGGCGGCCGCGAGCCTTGTGGTACGGCAGCATATTGACTACTCATTCGACGGATAATCTCAGGAGGACGTGCTCGACAGATCAGATGCGAGTGGTAGCATTCACATGGACTGACCGCTACTTCTGCCAAGGGTTCGCAGCACACTCTCCATGCAGGCTTATGCGTCGGCCATCTAGGGCAGGCCCGGCACATGCTCTGAGGCGTCATGATTGAACCGCGTTTGAAGGAAGCTTCGCTCAGGAACCGCACAGAACCGCGAATCGAATTTGAAGAAGGATCCCTCTAATGTCCTACGAAGGGGCGCTTTCAAGGTTTGTGGAACAATCCTGAGAACAGGTAGAGCCTTTTGTAATACTTATGACACTATTGCTACTTCAGGATATGCCGTAGGCACGGCGATAAAGAAGCGCGAAGCCTATTCGCCCGCTTGAGCCAAGTCTCAGGCTTGTTGGAGCGGAGCTGCCTAGACCGTTGTCACCCCGGCCCCCATGCTCGTTGTGAGTTCAAGCATCACAGAGGTGGCGGCGGTTTAGAATGGCAAAGGCCTTCGCGTGGGCTTCATTAAACAGCATCCGAGGTTTCGACGACTTCCGAAGCGTGTGCCTTTGGCTTCTGTTATCTCTTGTACGCGTCTCGAAACCGATGTGTCGCGGACAGCGAACGCGTTTGCACCCGTGGATTATCCGCAGCTCATCCGCATGCGTACACTTTCTCTTGATGCCCGTCGAGGGAAGCACGGTGAGCGATCTCCTCTGTGTGTGCGACAGCGTAGATGACGGAGAGGATTGGCTCACAGTTAAAGATGGTACCCACGGTCTTTCTTCGGGCGAAAGTCGTGCAATCTCCTCACACGCGTCGCGAACTGTGTATCGACTATGGCCGTCGTATGGTGCATATGCCTTCCTCAACGGCTCCTGCAGTACTCGAAGTGTATGGTGAAGCCGTGCAAACACCTAGGTTGCTGCAAAGTCGCTCCATTGCGTTCTGGTCACACAGGCTCGGCCAAATAACTTACTTGCGAAGTGCGTTGTAGTCTATTGGATGACATGCTCGCTCACCTAGGATCAGCTAGACCCACATCCGCATCGCATGGCTTGGTCTCGAACCACAGACCACTGGGGATATGGCACAATGAGCTTATCTTGTACCAGTAGCCGTTCGTGATATGATAGCACTTACGGCCATTTCATTCACGTTGAGCTATTCTATACCATCAGGTTTCCCTCGTCGCGATTGACATCTCCGCGTCGAATCAATTGGTGCTATCAGTAGACGAGAACCGAGATGTAGTGCTTGATGAGTACCTTCGAGTGCTACTAGGCGCGCACAGCCGCAGATATCATTTGGACGCCACCAGACAGCATACCGCCGGCTGTACATTTCAGTGGTCGACCGTAGATCGTCGTGTGAAATTCCTATGCCGATCACCCTCGGAGACACCGTGTGGTGCAGTTGTGACTTGTTAGATGTTGGCACATTCACTGTCACGGTATCCGCTGGCATGCGCGACTTGCAGCACATGTCGTCGCGATTGAGCTCGACGCTCTCCCTGGCAAGTGACATGGTGTGCCTAGGGATGCTGTCTCCGCTGACCATGCAGTGCTAGTGAATCGCAGAGTTCCAGTGCGCAAAGAAGAATATTTTCGGCTATAAGAGTCATGAGTGAGCCCCTACAATCGCCAAGGATACGTATTTCCTCTATCTCCTTTGTGCAGCACCTACTCAGCGATGCAGCTCACTCTTACATTCTCTACGCTGCTTGCCCTCGTCTACACGGCTACAGCAACCCCCGCCCATCCCGGTTTCACTCTCTCTGCCCGCGAAGCAGATGGCGCATACGTGTTCGATCGCGTCGGTGGCTTGGCCTTCACGCCAGCCCACATCCTACGCCGCACGGAGAGCGACGTCGAGGTACCTCGCGAGGCACAGCCTGAGCCGCTGGAGAAGCGCGACAGTTACAACTGCTTCGCTGCCACCTTCAGCGGCGGTGACAAGCTAAGCGCGGTCAACGCGCTGTACAACCTGCTTGACGACTACCCCATCGTAAATTCCAACGGGGCGATTGCCACTCAATATGGTGAGTGAGCCACAACCGTGCGCATCTCGGTCGCTTATACACGTTAGCCGACAACGCCATCGTCTACGTCTGCAACTTCTCCGGCGCAGACATTAGTGCCAACGCGCAGGACGTCAAGAATTATGATAATAGTATCAACAACGCGTGTGGTTCTAGCACTGCCGGGAGGGTTCTGCTCTCCTGTGAGTCTTCGAAACACTTTGCTGTATAGGTCAGCTAGCTCAGTGAAGAACAGCCGGGCTTGAGTACGGCCGTACTGCTGCGGGCAAGCCGTTCTGCGATGGCAGCTAAATGTGGAGAATCCCACGAGGTATGTACGCCATACTCATCCATCCACCCTCTACGCTGACATAGCTAGCTTCGGGCCTCTATCAATTTGAACCACCTCTAGCTATCGACTCTTCGACTCCAGAATGCGGAAAATACTTGAATAGCGGGATTAGTCAAACCCAGATTTTGTTGACCGCGGTGGACTCTGGGAATGTACGAGCTGTGGACGCCACTGTATCCCTGTTTGGGCGCATGACGAGGCCCCGGGATTCGGATAGCCTCAGTGTATAGTGCCTAACCATATTTATCCTCCGTATCAGCGCACTGCGTTACTGCGACAGAAGATTTCGCACCAAACTATTCCTGCTACTGACTGCTCTAACTCTATTCTTTATAGAAGCCCTCAGACTACTGATCACAGCGAACGGCAATAAAATTCTTCGCACTGAACCATTGCCGTTTAAACTCACCTTTCTGACCTTGTCACAAGGTCAGAGCCACCATAACAGCTGCTGCTTCGATATCGACTTCCAGATAAAGTGGGCATGGACATCACGGCGGGTCCCTCTGATCGCGCCAGCTCTCGCCCTGTGGCAGACTTTTACTGTAGTGTCTCATTTGAGAGACAGCCCTTCTCCTCCGGAGTGGTTAATGTCGCGCGACCCATTTTTGGCTTACACTGTCTCCTTACACAGTACGCCCGCTGAATACCCTCAGACAACGCCGCTCATTAACAGTCTGGTCACGGAAGCCCTTGGCATATGCATCGTCATGACTGTCGACTAGAAACTTCTCGCCTTTTGCAGGACGGTGCCAGCCGTCGAAGCTGGGGCGGCCACCGTCGTTTATTCGTAAGTAAACATGTGTTACACGTAGTTAGCCTGAACTAATCCGAATGCTCTTTTACACAGCTAATATCCATGCGCACAGTACGTAAGTTTCATTGTACGTGGGCGACGGTGTATACCGCATACATTCGCCTGAGGAATTAGGGCGAGTACGGCTAGGGGCTGCTGAAGGACGCATACCAAAGGTGCCGTCAGAGTATTTATTCAAGTCATAGTCTTAGCATAGTATAGCCACACAACTACTTCCCGATATCACAAACCCGAAGGGAGCGCAGAGCTAGCCATGTTGACATGAGCGTACAGCGGACAAACCTTGAAGCTTGAAGCTTGAAGCCGGCTTCGCGGCGGCCGCATGCGTTGTGCGTCTCATCGCTGCTCTACACCGCGGGCATTATCTCGAGCTTTCGCTTAGGAACGCGATCTGCACGCAGGAACAATGCGATGAAGTCGGATAAACCTTCTCGTCTCTTCGTGAGTCCTCTCCTCATATTACAAACTGTATTTAGCATATGATCGACCCACTGGATATCTATTTCTCGAACTTGATAAACTGCGCATAGTACCTGCTCCACTTCCCGCCATGGAAGCCCATCAGCCTCTTCCACTGCTCTGAATTTTCACCCCATACATCCTTTCCGCAGGCAAGCATGCCCGCGAACTGGAGGTCTGAGTGTGTGATGCCGACCTGAGGTCCCATGAGTAGCAAGTCGTCCCCCTTTCCATTCGCCTCAAGGTACCGTTTCAGCGCCCCCAAACCTGCCTCGACTTTCTGCCATTCCGCCTCGCCAAACTCCTCGAACTTCTTCCCAAACATCCGCTCACGCGTCACACGGAAGTACTCCCCGCTGCGTGCATCCATGACGCCCAACGCATCCACAAAGCCAGACGCCATAAGAGGGATCCCAACGTTCATCCAAATGAACTCGTGGAACATCTCCTGGAATGCGTCGGTACCCGCAGGAATCAGCTTCACATCGTCAGGGTACGTTTCGTCGAGGTACTTGGCGATCACTACGCTGTCTGTGACCACCTTCTTCGTGTTTGGGTCAAAGATGGTTGGCAGGGTGTAGTAATCCCGCCCGTCTGACGTCTTCCCGGTTGGCGGCGCACCGAGCTTCTTCAGCGTACTTTCGATGTCGGGGTACTCGACCCACTCGGTCGTAAACTTCAGGCGTTTCATGTTCAGAGCAAACCTGTACCAAACGAAGTTAGCAATCACAACTTGCTGCGGGCGGCAGCAGCATCATGCCATACGGACCGAGTCTTCCATGTATTCGGGTTCCATGGGGTGGGATGGATCTTGGAAACGTCGTAGAGAACGATGGCCTCCATCTTGGTTATAGCGATGGTGAGAATGCAGTGCGAGTGACAGGGAGTGCGCAGTATCTGACTATATGCCACTGGTCCTGAGGCCTGAAATCTTACCTGGCCCTTATATACACTGCCCTGGCTGAAGCTGTCTTACATTTGCGTTACAGCGGCTTGCAGATCGCTTGACAGTAACCCGAGGAGAGGAAAGAAAGAAAGAGAGAAGATTCGAGGCCGAGCTGCATGACAAAGCAGCTTGACATAATCGGTTCGTAGTCGTCGTCATCCAGCATGACAACCATCCCTAGTAAATTCATGATGGTAATTGCGCACGCAACTTACAGTCGTTTGCAATTTGCATATGAAACTGCAGTCCGTGATTTTTGTCCTAATATTTGTTTCGTACAAATACTGCCTTTGAAAGCAATGCGTGCTGTAAGCGCACATTGTCATGCTCTTTCACTCAGCTCGTGGTAAGGCGGAATAACGTGATTAAAATATCTGAAAAAAAAGTTCAAATATCTTGATTGCTACGCACATCTCGGAGTGCAATGAAGTTAGTCAGACATTTAGTACTTACCAGGAGATGAAAGGCGGAGGGGCTATACGCGCGCTTGGCATAACACTAGGCGCTAGTAGGCACATCGAGTGCTCGCCTTCGGAGATTCCGCGCTACGAACACCAAAAATGCAGGCGGGGCTGTCAACAGTTTGCAGTAAGCCATCGCAGAGAGAGTTTAGCTACACGAGGACCAGTGCGACAGCATTGTTAGTTTGTGATCCTTTCGTGACTTTCCGTAACTATCAACTCCTGCCCCTCGACAACGCGTCCATACTCATGCAGCGAAATCACTGTTTACAGCACACGGATGGAGCGGACACTCGCTCCTCGATAACAAACCGTAATTAGACGGATATGTTATCAGCATGCCGGATGAAATACTGTAACTCAAGGCAAGCTTATTGGGCCACCCAAACAATATTTGAGGCGTCGATACATCGTTACTGCAACAGGGAGCTGCCAGCTTGTTGACGCGCGTGCGGCAAACCTTTGCCGGGAGGGACTCCAGGCACCGGACCCAATGTCACGAACGGTCACTTAGTGACTTCGCGGTGACTGGCCGATGTCATGGTTTAGTGTATACACTCGCCATGTGTATACTCACCATGTATCCTTCCACCGTAGCTTAGTCACTCTGACACGGCCATGCAATGTTCAGGTGCGCATATGATGGGTGTAGCTTCAACAAACTGTCCTCTGTCAGACAGCTTTTTGTCTCACGAAGAGGTCATCGAGCCTATGCAAAGCTCTCCGTGACAAGCAGCAGCCCGTCCTGGGGACTCAAAGTCTGTTGATACGTCCTGCCGCACGCAAGTATTCTACATCCGCTTCTGAGAGTGTGAAGATGGTCCTTCAATCTCACTCTTCTCATCGCAGGCATATTCGGCCTCGTAGCAGGAGGCTCCAGAAACTTTGCCCCTCTGGCCTCTCTTCTTGCCGTACTTGGTGTTGGTGTCGGAGGCAACCTGCCTGTTGACTCTGCAGTATTCCTTGGTCCATGTACGCCATCCTTACCGTTGTTCTTGCACGCTGACGCCGGCCCTAGACTTTGTTCCTGGTTCTCATCAATATCTTCTGACCGTCCTGTCCGTTTGATGGTCCCTCGGCCAGCTGTTCGTCAACTTGGTATGTTTTGCATCCTGTGATCTGCATTTATGTGCTGATATTTTCCAGATCACCTGGCCTCTAATCACAAACCTCTCATGTCCCCCAGACTCCGCTCCAGGTACCTGCACCCGGTCTCAGAATATGGGCTGGCGTGACCTTCTCTTGACCCTCGCTTGAGGAGTCGCCATGTTACCTGGTGCATCGCGGATGTGACGCCGAACGGGACAACCTGTAGCCTCACCGTGGAGCAGCTTCGGGATGCTGGCGAGTTGGCTGATATGAAGAAGGATGGCTCGCATGAAGCAAAGGTGACAGTTCTCAGTCGGACATGACATCTAACTACACCATGGACCATATCAAGGCTCTCTTTGAGACGAAGAAACTCGCCAGGTCGACGAGTCACATCCAAACTCAAAG